TGAGCTGATTTGGAACGAGGGCACTACATTCGTGCACTAGGCCCACCCTAAATTAAACCGTCTCAGTAGTTTACCGTAATTAATAATCTATTTTCGGAATTTATACGAGAATTTTTGAATTTTAGTAAATACTAGAGTCAGTGCATCGCGTATTGAAATAATAGCTTCATCCCTAGTTCGTTTATTATTGAATATTTTTACGCGTTTAACTTATGCTTCTCCCCAATTCTCGTCGCGTATTTTATTCAAATTTTCTTATACTCTAGAATCGAGAAAGATATGAATTCGCGTTTTTTCTTTTGATTCTTTCAATTTTTCAATTGCATTACGCATTATTGCAATAATTTCTATCGTTACATTTAATTCTATATTATTGCAATTATTTCTATCGTTACATTTAATTCTAATCGTTTAGCAGCTTTTCTGCTGCTATCGATCCTACATTTTACTGACACTTGTGCAATCGACCCTAAATTTTTTTTTTTTTACGTGGAGGTAGGCCGACTCTATGTGACAAACAATTGGCAACCAAACGGTGGCTCGCTAAAGCGATATATTATAAAATTAAATTAATCACTCAATAAGTATTAACATTAGATTGTTTCCTCGATATGGCCATGGTGGTCATCAGTGACTGGAGTGCCTCAAATGTTTAGAATAATTAAAATAAAATAAATGTTGTCAACTAAAAATTTTGAACGTCATAGCTAGCTAGACATTATTTTCAATTGAAAAAAAAAATTATAAAGCATAATACTATAATCCTATGCTTAAAATGTATTTTCTTGTGGCCGCCTGACAGCAACCTGTAAATCTGGCGCGACAGTGAACGTGTTAATAAGTAAATGTTGTTCAAATTATGTCGTGTTTGATGTCATTTTCATCAGAAAAATCCCACCAACATGTTAAAAAAAATTGAAATTGAAGTGAAATTAAAGAAATTCTATTTTTCTATTATGATTTTACGAGCCGTGAAATCTCGTAAAGGAAACCGACTGGTATAGCGTTACACG